TTTTTCTCGATATTTGTTCATTAGACTGTTCTCCATATTCAATGAAAATGGAAAATCTAACTTTTTTAAATACTAATATTTACTTGAAGTCGTGAACAAAACTCATTCATCAATTATACAACTGTAATAAACGGAAATGTTATTTTTTTTTTGAAATTTCACATAGTAGAAAAACTCATTGTTTTGAAAATGTTCACTGTCAAATCATTTTTTAAAATTTGAACACTTATTTTCTCCATTTTACCTCAAGTTTAGTTTCGTCGAATTATAGATTTTCTGATGTATAATTTTAGTGTCACATTGAACAAAGTCCAAGATCATGCACATACCAGCTGGGCTTTTCAACGACTTCTTCTTGTGAATGAATATTCGAGAAAATCTCCATTACCTCCACCATTCAATCTTATCCATTATATTTGTAAGGGTCTTTGGAAAATATTTAATTCCTGTCGTAAACAAAATTTTAATAGTAAATAATTAAGTTATCTGTAAAAATTTAATTTTTTTATTTATATTTCATTCTATTTAGACAATATTTATGGTTCATTAGATAATAGTAGTGGATTAGATTGTAATCTCTATGATACTATTTTATTTAATGCTATAGATCAAGTTAAAATTTGCGGTTATGTGACGGAAGTTTCCGTTAATTTTTCAACAAAACCTACTGCTAACCAGCCGAAAATATGGCTTTTTACCATTCAAAATACAAATATCGGTACACATCCAAATACTTTTCAAGTTGTTGAAAAAAAAATGATACCATTAGCTGATATACAATTGGAATCGGGCATACAAACATTCACTCAACTTCATATTCCTATTCGAGCCAAACAATATTTAGCGATTCGATTTTCATCAGGTTCTGGAAATCCATTTAGTACAGAACGTAATCAATATTATAGTTATTTTACTGATGAACCTTATCGAAATCAAAAGATATTCTTTTCGAATTCTCCCACTACAGGAATTACAATGAGCTTTAATGTTGGATCATCACCAGGCAAGTTCAGATTATTATTCTTAAAAATTCAGTTTGTATGAATGCTTTATTTGCTATAGATGGTTCTCAACAATGTCAATGTCATGCTCATATCAATCAGAAAACAGCAAAAATGAAGATAAATCAGAAACAAAGTAATATCATATTTAGTTTGTAGAAGAATCTTTTTTTGGATTACATTTTTTATTTAGCTAAACAAAATCTATTTCGAATTCATGATAATATCTTGCGTGAACAAAGTATCGCTCAAAGTTATTGGGCAACTATAATCAATTCTATTAAAAAAGAAGAAAAAGATAAAAATAAACAACAGAGTTTAGAGGAAAATTAATCGAATGGCCTCATCGTGGAAATTGTATATTTGGTAGATAAGATACAGACTATAAATACGAATAATTAATAAAGAAACACACTATTGTCTAGATATTTCAAACTAGAATTTAGTAGAACTACTTAAAACTTATATTATATTGCAAAGTAATCGACTGTAGTTTAGTGTATGTGTTTGTTTTTCTTCTTTTACATGTCCTACTAATTCTCTACATATTATGTCATTATTATTTTATATGAAGTCTTATACTTATCTATTATATGAATATGCTTTTTTTTGTTCTAGATATAATCAACAAATATGATTCATCAATAATTATTAATCGAAATTGAGAAGTATTATTTTAAATAAGGAAATAACTAATCGACCTCGAAGAGAGACATATGTAAACTTTTAACGAAATTGTCTTAGTTTACCATTCTTGAGATTTTTATTTTTTGAAATATATTCCTCGTTCAATACTCTTCAAGACTGCATTCATTTGTAATCGTAATAATTTCTATTATCCATCTTATTTCACTAAATTTTACTTGATATAGAGATTTTTGAGGTTCAAATTTTACTGTTGATTTCATGGATACTATTTTGTTCCTGATATGACTAAGGTTAAGACAAGTTTCTATGGCGTCTGGAGCTGGAGCAAAAAAAGCAGATTTATAGCAATTTGTCGACTTGAGAAACGTTCTTAATTTTTTCAGCAACATTTCAAATAAATAAACGAGTATTCTCTATCTAAACATGTTTATGTTGCGGCACTTTTGCTTAGAGAACAGTTTCCAAAACCATTTTCTCTTTGATATAAAGGTTAGTTTCCATAGGGGATAACATTTCTATCTTTTAATGAAATTGTAGAAGGTGACACATTCAAATGATGAAGTCATAGTACTCGAACCAGAAAAGCTAATTACAAATAATCTTGATTCCTTTTCTCTCGTACACTGATCCTATGAACTGTTGTATACATTAAAATACGTCAGTTTTCACATCAGCAGGAGAACAATATTCCATTATCAAATCCAAATATGTTTTCAAGCGTTTAAAACATCTTCAAAACTCAGAGACCACCTTTAGAATAAGACTTGGAAATTTGGTCCTTCACCTGTCAACAAAGTGAACAAAAATAAAGATCGTCTTCGTCATTATCATTATCGATTCTATTTAGCTACATGTTTCTTAATCCATGAGATTTGTTTGAGTGCTGAAACTAGATGTAAGTACGGTTTTTGCACTATCTTTCGACACTTTATATACAGTTTCATTGTTTTATAACTAAATCACCAAAGGACCCATTCTTCACGTGCATTAGTGGCTAAAAACGGTATAATTCATTTTTTGATTCAGACTTTTCTCGATAAAAATTCAAATTATTTGAAATTTTTATGCCAATTTCCAAAACATAAATCATTGAATAGTGATAAACAATTAACTGGAAAATGCGACTGAAAATTCAGAAATAGATCAAAAACTGCGCAGAAATATAGAAAAAACGTTTGTTACCAATTTAAACACAGACGTCATTGATGCAGATACCGAGACGTCAGTTTTAATTACTGTTTTTCAGACTCTAGGCTGTTCAGTCTACAGAACATACAAATTGGTCATGAAAAGTATCCCAGATAGGTATTTATCTTTGACACGTTGATGTCATATTAACTGAAAACAAAAATACAGTCAAATGGTTTAAAAGAGGTTCAGGCAGATAAATGAGTTAGTTACCGTTTCTGATTCTTTTAGTCTAGAGAATATAGATGTTAAGCTTTTAAATGCGTTCAATTACATCTTGTAATTGAATATATCAACTTTTGATTCAGATATCGGGTAATTTACTCGTTATTGGTCTTTTTCTCAAACAACAAAAGAATTCTAAAAAGTCATCCATTAACAGGTATGACCAAAACCTATCTGATTAATTTAATAGAAAAACATCACATTTTGCTTTATACTCTCAGAGAAAATAAATGGGAAGCAAGATCAGTTGGTTTAAATTTCCTATCGAATCACCAGTACCAGTCAAATCGGAAACAATCGAAACTGCGACTTTGGTTCCTAAATTATCAACAGGACTAGAGGAGATATCATTAGAAAACCAAAATATTACCAATAAACAAGAACATGAGATGCATGATATTTTAAAAAATGGCACACAAAATGATTTTATTCTTGATTTGTCTCATTCAAAAAAAGAGAATGATATTCAAATAGATGACATACCAGAACTACAGCGAAATATCGACATTCAACTGCCTGAAATTAATATGGATACACAATTTACTAATGATGACACTTTGCCTATTATTTGGTTAGACGCTGATGTTCATGAAAGTAGGGAAAACATTGACCTGCAAGAAAAACTCAAGACAATAACAAAATCATTGACAGTGTTCAATGCAGACGAAGAATGTGAAGAACATATTCGACAATTGCCAGTGGGTGAAGAAGTTATTTTGATTGTGGCTGGTACTATTGGTACTGTTATAATACCGCTCGTTCATGATTCAATACAGATTCGAGTCATTTATATTTATTCACATGTAGATAATTATTACAAAAAGAAATTTGAACAATACGCAAAGGTAAGCAAGAGAGAACTCATATACTCAATTGTGATTGAATTGCCACACAGTTACGTTATAGCTGCGATCAAACTGAGACTTACAATTATGAAAACCTGCGGCAGAATTATGTTTAGACACATCTCCTTAGCTATGGTCGAGATTTTTGCAGTTACAACATAACAAGTTACTAGAGTACTGTTTTCTACATCCAAGAGTTTTACATAAGACATATATGAATGAATCATTTGGAATATTTTTGTATGATCATTAAAGCGAGAGACAGAGAACTTTTTAGGAGATTTCTGGATATTCACAGTGAGCAAACTTTGATTTTTTATTTTTAAGATTTGTAATCAGTACCAGAAGCATTTCCTATATTTCTTTGGGATTAGAAAATTTTTCTCATTTGATATTCAAAAAAAAAGTGTTAAATATTAAATGCTCGAAAAAAACTATTGTAACAATTATTTAACCTTTCACCTTGGTCATATGATTTACAGTTATGTCATTATAGTACATTGCTACTCTTTGCATCATCAAACATCTATGATGAAAACTGGTAGTCATTCGATGCAATTGTACAAGCTCATTTTTCAAATATAAACTTTGTTTGGTCACTGAACTTAGGTGAAGAGTCAAATAATCATTAAGATAATTTCTTTTCAAATTTTTGGCATTTCATACTGAATTTTTGAATACTGAAGAGAACAATTTTCTCATCTAGTAGAATTATGGAGGAATGTTCTCAGCATCGATTGCAAGTCTCAACATTGGAGAACTAAAATTTGTTCACACTTAAAAATCGAAAGTGTCCAAAAATTTCCGCTCTCTCTATAAAGACTACAAAAAAATTTAAATAATATAGCCATACGAGTTCAATATGTAGCTTTCAAATGAAGAAAAAAATGCATCCTGATAGTCGTTGTTGTTGCCAAAATCTTCGATTCTTCTCAATGTGGTATTTTCTTTGGAAATAAAGAGTACTATAATGTATCAAAAATTGTATACTAATATGCATGTCAGTACACTTTTATATTCATCAAAATCGTTTATTTTATTTTAGGTCAGGGACGTTATAATTAGTCCGGATATGTTGATAAACAATATTCACATGGAACAAATTCTGTATCAGAGAGGTGCCGAAGAACAATTATCTCTCAACATTTACAATCAACAAGAAGAATCATCGGATTTAAATGATCGTTTTATATGGATGTATGTATTTATGAACATATTTTTTCGTATGAATCACTCGTTATACTCGTCGACAATAGCTGATGAAAAGAGAGCACTTCTTGAAAAACTTTGTGAAATGTATAATGATATTGAAAGTTTGCGCGTATGGAATCATTTCGATTCAAAATATTCACGAGATCAAGCCATTCAATGGTATACCAATGAGGGACTATTTTATACAGCATTAAACAGAACTTTACGCTGTAGAAATTTGAAGCTCTTAACTGTTTTTCGATTTTTTATCTTTGATTTGTATGAACAGCTGATGCAGACATATGATTCTCAAAAAAATAAACGCAAACATGAGAAATCTGACCAGTTACTACCAATATATAGTGTTTATCGTCGACAAATATTGCCATTAGGTCAAATTCAACGAATGAAACATTCTATTGGTAGTTTTGCATCAATAAACTCATTCTTTTCAACGACTAGAGATCGACATATTGCAGAACGATTTCGATCGAAATCATCTGATGAATTTACCATTAATCTTCGAAGCGTACTATTCAAGATTGATATTGATCCGAATCTGAATATACGCCAATATGGTGATATTCAAGATATTAGTGCATATAGAGATGAAAAAGAATTACTATTTATACCGGGAACAATCTTCCAAATCAAGAATGTTTCTAAAGCAAACGATTATTTTATAGAATTAAAATTATGCAGTGAAAATGATAAAGAAATTCATGATATTATTTCCAAATGGAAACAATATATTGAATCAAAATTAAATCAATCATATTTATACTGGTTCGTAGAAGAAACGGATAAACTAAATCATGCTGAACAATATTATCGATTAGTATTGAAGTATTTACCTAAAAATGATCCATTCATCAGTTATTCTTATCATGGCTTGGGAAATATTTACAAGAAGAATGGAAAATATGCTGAAGCGATTACGTATTATACTGAAGCACGACAAATCTCTAATGATCGTAGATGGCAGGCAAAATGTTACAATTCCATAGCCGATGCCTATCTATCAATGGACAATGAAAAACTTGCTCTACACAATTACAAAGTAGCGAAATCCATGTATGAGTGTGAAACTAATCAATCATACCGAAATATTGCTGACTGTTGCAGCAATATTGGTCGAATCTATCAGAAAATAAAGAATTATAATAAAGCATTAACATCATTTCAAGAAGTCTTGAGTTTAAATGAAAAAATTGCTTCAAAAGATTCTTTACATATGATTACATCCCTAATGAATTTGGCTAAAACTTATTGTCTCAAACGTGATTATGAGGAGGCTCGCAATTATCTAAATAGAGCACTACAAATGAGTCAAAAACATTTGAAACAAAACGATCCTGAACTTGGTTCTATGTATAAAGATATTGGTAATATTTATCAAGAAGATAAACAATTTCATTTGGCTCTTTCATTCTATCATAAAGCAGCTGAAATTTATTATTATACATATCCACGAACAGATCAGCATAATGTAGATATTCAAAAATGCATCAGATACAGCAATTATAAACTAAAGTAAATAAAAAATAGAATTTTTTCTGCTTTTTATTTCTCTCAATACAATGTTTTTTTTTTCTTCGATATCAAATGCAGACAAAGAAAATCTATTATAAATTAACTATATGTATGAAGAGCTAAACGTGGATAAATTTACATCACCATTAATAATATACCTATATTTTTTGCATTCTTAATCTTGCCGATTTACGATGATGACTTTCGACGACAATTAGTCTCAAACCAAATTCATCAAATTCGACAAATATAATGTATCGAAAGTTTTGGCACAAAACATCTCCTATTTCGATGAGTCAAACGAAACCTATTCTTGTGTCATAAATACAGCTGTGCTTTTCTCTTTGCTTCATTTGTTCTTATTGTCGATAGTAATAAATGCCTCTCGATCTCAGTCTTAATCATTTTTAGTTAATATACGGAGTGCAAAAATCTGTAATTTCTAATCTTATAGAAATAGAAACCACATGTTTTCCTGATGAGTACTTGTTCGTGAAGTCTTAATGGCGAAGACAACTACTGAAAGATAAACAACTTGTTGTTACGTATTCGGTTACCAAAAGCATTTATCAACAAGTTTAAACAACACATTTCAAAAACGATTCTTTACAAACAAACTGGATTTTTCAGACAGAGACAACAATTTTGAATGAATTCTTTCATTAGGTGTTACACTCGTCAATTCGTATAACCTAAACTACTTTTGAAACAAGCGTAGGCTCTATGACAGGAAAATATTGAGAAATATTTATAGGATTACTACTATAGATATTTATAAAGCTAAATTCATAATTGGGTAGTTGAATTCGTACAACAACTAATCAATTATTCAATAGAGTAAGAGTGTGGAGTCTGAATGGGGACACGTGTTCCTACCATTATACGCGCACCCACACCCACAATCAACTTTCAGGTTTGACATGTATGGTTCATTTTAAATGACATGAATATTGAATTTATTGTAAGTATTTTTTGGCCCTTTGCAACTTCGTCGGTTTTTCAGATTGAAATTAGCTCTTCCATAGAATGGTTATTTATTGGACATTAATTCTAATAAAATTTCGAACATGAAGATTGTACTACTTTATGAGCTTAGATCGAAAACAAAATAAATCTAGAAAGGTGATCTTTCTTGTTTACTCACTACAAATAAGTCAAAAACAACCCAAACTGTCATAATAAATGCTGTTTTCACATCTGTCGTCGAGAGCTTCTTAAAAAGCACTCTACGGATATATCATGTCCACAATAGTATATATCAACATAACCGACATCAGAATAATCAGTTTGTGACAGGCAGTAAAGTAGAAAGAAAAAAAAAACAGATTTTGCCACTATTGTAAAAAAATATAATTTTCCAATTCATAAGTCTTACGTTAGTCAAGAGATCGTAAAAAGAAGTTTATTCCTTTTTTTGGTTTTGTAACTTTTCAAAGATTCTAGATAGTATGCGAAAACTATCTCGATCCGATGCTTTATCATTCAAACTAGATAGTTCACATGAATGGATGAACAATAGCGCAACAGAGGATAAATGATCTTATGGTTTAGTTTTTAATAGTGATTGTTTAGAACTTAGGGTTGATGGGTGTAGGTTTTGTGGGGGTTCGTGTGAGTTCACATCTTATTTTCATTCATACATCTATACCGATACTCCAAACAATGTCAACAGATGTGATGATATGCCAAGACTTTTTTGCGTTTTTTTTCTCTCGTTCAACTCCGATCCAATAACATCACAACTACTGCGTTTTTGTAACACATGTTTTCCAACGTTTGTCTTGTCGAGTATTACTCACGTATATATCTGGAAGCAAAAGAAACAAGTTATTCATACCACAAATACTGTTCTGCTTTGTGGCATGTCTCTATTAAATATTGTTTGCAGTATTCTCGTTGTGGTGATTTTCGCTATCATTTCCCAAAGTAAGAAGTTTGCTTGATAAGCCTTTTCTCATGAGTATCTTTGAAGGAAATTGTGCATTAACACCGATTGAATTTCGTCGTTTGTAGTGTTTATCATAACAGCAAATTAGCGATCAAAATTACTCTCAACGATTTGGTTAAGCATTTTTCTACAACAATAAGACATTTACCATCAATTTCTTGAGCACTATTTCCTATACTTGGGTAAAAAAAGTGAGGAATTAAAAGTATGGCAGTAATATCTTCTATTTCCTAGATGAACCCTTTCCTCGCAGACAATGATACGGATGACAAGGATACCTATTCAGTATTTTTGATATCACTCAGAGTAAATGCACAGAGAATCACTTCATCGGCTTATCAGATTGCTTCTATTGAATGGTACCTGTACAATCATGTTCGAAGATGAAATCGGTTCATTGCCTACTGTCTACACAAACAATACTGTGCAATATCAAATATTTCATAATGAAGGTTTCATTGGAAAGCTAATCAATACAATCTATGAGCCAGAGCGCCTTCGATTTGATCAATTGTTGACATAAAAAGAACGAGCAACTGTTGTTTTCTTCGGCAGCTCATCGTTTTGCTTATGGTCAACATTTTCCAAAGATTTTGTCGATGTTCCCAGTGGAGTCATCAATCTTGGTTTTAGTGGCTCGTCTCTGAAATAATGCTGGCAACAGTTCAAGCTTCGTCCGTTTTCTTATACCTTCAATAATTCATTTCCATTGTTCAACGTTCCCATTCATCATTACCCATAGCTTACGTTTCGATCAAACCAAATTCGAGTCAAATAGATCAATCAGCAATACTGAACGAGACCAACAATCGTGTTTGTGAGAATATTCAAAATTTCTTTTTTAGTCAAAATAATTGCGATGTCTTTTATTTGTATTACATAATTAAAAACTTGGACCATTTGTAGTACTCACTATGCATTTGACTTTTGAAAACTGAAATATTATATATTCAACATATTGTTTTTTAGATAATCCGTCATAATAAGCTTAAAAGAATGTTATTATCGTGTCATAATCTTGACGAGTGTCAGAAAATAGTTTTTCTTATTAAAAGCCAGGTCGTCCTTAGCACGTTGAATAATTTGATATAACTCTGCAATTTTGGATAAAATCGATTATATTATGTATAAGAAGGGAATAAAATTCACTGATAATGTGATTCAGTCAGAATAACTTTAAATTTTGAATAAACATTGAAACACAAATGCACGGGTCTCAAAACTTCTTGTCAAACGTGTTTGAATGCATTCATTCTGCATCTAGTATTTATATGGATAAACCAAATGCAAAAATGTCATATTATTATATTGATTTGGAAATTCAAATGAAAAGTTACACATTTCTGGTATGGGAATATAGCTCAGTGGTAGAGCATTCGACTGCAGATCGAGAGGTCCCTGGTTCAATCCCGGGTGTTCCCTAGTCTATTATTTCTTTTTTTTTCTTTCTGTTATCACTTGTCTTATTTACATCGGATGCATATTGACATTGATACTTTGGCGACAGTTGGAGTGAATATGCCAAAATGAGACTAAAATAACAATGTAATACATGTGGATCCATACGAAAAAAATCAATAATAGAATCAATTGTTCTTTTTTTAACTGAATTATATTTTTATGCAAAACTGTCGATCAAATTATTAAAATATCATGCCATATTCAACTAGAATAATTATAGTTTATTGGCCTGCAATTTATTCCTCATCGAGTGTACGATTGAATTCATTACTAATCTAACAAGCAGAATTTTACGTCATGACATACGTGTCGAAGATGATAGAATCAGATTTAAATTTGCTTAGTATAGCAGTGATAATATCAAACAATTCGGTAAGATTATTCTTCTCTTTCATGAACATTACAGAAAAATATAGTACTTCGACCTATTATGACCTGTTGTCGGAGACTAACACACATTTAGCTCGCGTTCTTCATCTCGTTGAGAATAGAATTGATCTTTCCTTTTTTTCAGAGCTATCGAATCTGTAGTTGCCAACTAGGCACAAAACCATCTATCAAGTTTATTATGAAATACGCGACATAACGAAGAATAATATATGTGTTAGGCAAGCTCTATTTAGGAAGAAAACATAATCTCGTATTCATTCACATTTTTCATTACAAAATCTGTACTGAATTCAAGAGATGCTCACTTTCTTACCAAAAACAGAAGCACGATGAACTTCTATCATTTTGAAAAGTGAAGAGTCTGTAGAAAACTTGAAGTGCTTTTATGCTATAAACATGATCATGATAATCATGCAAAAACTCAAATGTATTCAGTTTTCGTGGATGAGTCTATAATTACTTCAAGAGCACAACCTGTTATACTATAAGAGTGAGCATTTCAATGACGAACATAGTCAAAAATGCTCACTTTTCATTGGAGACTCTTCACTCATTTCGATGATGCTGTTTGTCGGATTATAAGATGCAAGAAGATAATTCTTAAGTCGTTGGAAAGACAAAAGTGTAAGGGAAAGCTGAAGGATTCGGGCGAAAGAAGCGAATGAATCTGATCGTTTCTCGTCACACGTCTTTCACCCGGGCAGTTTCTGTTAATTCGAGCATTCGTATTCTCTGATAGGTGTAAGGAATATGTGCTGATAGGTAAAAATAATGAATGAAAAGATCTAGAACAAAAAGTCATTCTTTGTCGCTTTTTTTTCTTTTTTTTCACTAGATGTTGTTGACATAACATTATGTTCTTCTTTCATTGCTACGTTCTTTTTTTGCTCTTTACCAGAGTAGTTGCGCTCGTTGCAAGTGAAAGGAATGTGCCTACAAGAGCAGGTAACAAAAAGAGGGAGAGAATTGCGATAGAATAAAATAAATCTTTTTCTAAGCTTCTATTTTTCTTTTTCTCAGTAGGCATTGGGTGCTGAAATTTACTTGGTTGTTTTGTTGCTACATTTACGTTGTGTGGGTTTTGCCCCAGTCATCGCATGGTCTATGAAACACTTGAAAATTCCGTCGAAGAATTGAAATGAAGTATATAAAAAGAGAGCAACGATGTAAAAGTAATTTCATTTGCAATTTCGTCGTTTTCTGTG